GATCTTTTCAGGATATGGTATTCTCCCTGTAACAAAATAATTTATCTATGTCTCTGTGTGAGATGTATAAGGTGTGGCATACTGAGGGCAGTGTTATTTTGCCTCAGAATACAGTATTTCTCACATGGCTGTCATGATTGATGTTGTTGACCTCTGTTGGTCTCACAGGGAGGTTATTACAGAGACTCTGAATCCAGTTTAGCAAAACCAGGCTTGCGTAGTGACTACAGCTGCTTACGTCTGTGTGCTGGGCTGAACACTCTCCTGAGACCCAGAGCTCTGAAAGGCGGAAATTGGTCCGCATGGAGTCATAGAATTGTGTAGGGTTCTTCACACCAAGTCAGCATTTCCAGGCGCTTCCAGCTGCCTAGATTCTTCCTTGAACTGCTTATTCTGAGTCACMATTTTTATGCACTACGTAGCAGATTTTGTCTGAAGTTTGTAGTGGAAAATTGAGCTTGTAAAGGTCAGCATCAAGAGCTGAGACTTCTGCCATTTGTACTGCTGAAGCAATTYCACTGTGGTACATTTTCTCCAAGTGGGTGGGGTGCAACAGCTCTTGACTGAAACATTTTACATTCCCACCGAAAGCAGCATGCTTCATGCATCTAAAAACCACAGGAAGCCAAAGGTCTCCATCTCAGCCACTTACTAATAATGTTGTGTGGGTATTTCAGTGCTAAGCTTGRTGCTGCTGGTGTTTGCTCCTGTGGTCTGGTCTTGCAGACAGCTGCTGTAGGCAGCCTCTGCACTGGCAGCATGGAACAGTCCTCCTGTGATGGGGATATTTCCAGTTGACCTCAGTGAGCTGTGGATGCAGTAATAAGCTAAGCTTTATGTGTCATTCATAAAGTTACACGTAAAAAGAGCCAGTGCTTCTGCTGCTTCTTGGAAAGTGAGAGACCATGCATTTCTCAGCTGTAACAAAAGAGATTATACAGGGTGCCTGCATGGCTCTGATGTGTCTGACCTTCCTTCTCAGAGCCTGGGGTGCAGCTGGTTTGTTCCCTAACCGACAGCATTTATTTGTGACTGTGCACTTAATCATGGCTGCTGATTGGAGTAATTTAATCAAGGAACTGATTGGGGCAATTTGGAATTGGTCCCACTGGTGAATATCAGTAGTTAAGATGGATTGCCTAGTGGAGACAATAGCCAGGAAAAGACAGGGTAGAGGGTAGCCAGTAAGTAACTGATATGTCTGGCAAGGGACACTATCACCTTGCTCACTGACAGTTCCCCCTCAACTTCTCAGGACTGTGGGAATTACATAGTCTGAAAATATTCATAGTCAGGGTAAGGGGTGAGGTGAGGAAGCTTGCTGATGATTCTGCATTATTCAGGAAAGGGCAGACTGAATAGCTGTCGGATATAAATCAAGCATTAGGAATGATTAGGAAAGACATAGGTGATGAAACAGCAAATGTTGCCTTACCATGGTACAGGTTCATAGTTTTTGCTCACCTGTACAGTTCTGGTCCTCTCATGTCAAAGGGGATATATAATAAACYTGGAAAAGTATCAAGCAGGACCAACAAGGATAAGCAAAGATAAGGAATTACTTTGACTTGAAGAATGACTGAAGAGACTAGAGGCCCATAGGCTGAAAAGGAGAGACAGCTTGCCAGGAGTATGGTGCAGATCTCTAGGCTCAGCAGTGGCACGGAAAGGTGTGGCTGGGGGTCAGGCATTCAGTGTCTCTTCCAAAACAAGAACATTACACAAAGCTCTAGTGGCAGTCAGGTTCAGTGAAGGAGGTGGTTCCTCATAGACGATGTGACAGACCTGCAAAAGTTGTTGATAAAAGGTGTTGTGGATGCCACAGAACTCTTTTGGTGATCAATAAAAAGCCGAAGAAGTATCTGGAGGAGAACCTAATTATGGAGAAACCTTGTATGTCTCAAAATCCCCTGACGTAAAAACCATTGTAGACAGAGAAGGAAGTGTCACATATACTATCTCGTTCTTTCTCTTCCCCCACTTCTGACCACTCTCAAAGTCCAGATACTGGGTTCAGGGACCTTTGATCAGACACAGTACAGTGTTCTTGTGAAACTAATACTTCCATGGGGTGCCCCAAAGGAGAGGTCTGCAGCTGCCCCTCTTGAGCACCCCAGAAGCAGATCCCCATGGCAGGGCCGTGTGTGTGTGCAGCACCATTAGCTTGCTCTATGCCATGGCCTGCCATGTCTTGTTRCACAGTGTGGACACTCTTCCAGATGTTTACATGAATCATTTGTTAAATTATAGTACTCTTCTATTTTTAGTTGTAATAAAAAGACACACTGGTAGGTGTGGTTTTAAAAATGGGAGGAGGGGGTGATATGTAGATACGATGGACTTGTCATGAAAAAGAAGGAAAAAAAAAGCTTGCCTTTTTTCTTTTTGAAAGGTTTGGGTGCCATCTGCTGGGTTSAGTGAGACCTTACACACTGGAGCAAAATCACTAGCTGCTGGTTGAAAAGTGCCTGAAGAATTGAATTTACCAAGGGTTGCAGCGTCTTTGTTTGCACCTCCTGGTTCTTTTGTCTCCATGGAGGATAATGTAACCCAGGCATATGGAATGTACTCTGCCACACTAAGAAGGTGCCTGCTTACAGTTCCCTTTTAAAGGGATCATTCAGGCTGCATTCTATAATGGTTTTCACTGTGTTTGGTCACCTAATGGAGACATAGTGGAAGGAAATAGGGATTTTTGGGGATTGTGTCCTAGGCACATATTGTGCTAGCAGAGCCCACCCTGACCAGCATCCAGGCTGTCTAAAGCTGTGGGAGACAAGGACAGGCAGATGCTGGGAGCTGGAACAGACCTGGAGTTTGTCCAGGGGCCTGGTTACTGCCTCCCTTTGATATATGCTAGAGGTGTATAAAGACAAGGTGCAGCCCTGTGTGTCAGCTTTGTGAAGGGGTGGGGTGTGAGTGTTCCAGGTGGGTGAGCTTCCGTGAGGTGGGCATGGYGCTGCTCTGCAGTTAGGGCACCTGGTGACAGTGAGCTGGCACCTCTGGGCTTGCAGTCTGAGATAGCCCAGCTCTCAACCTGAGAGTGCCCCAGAGCAAAGCAATATAAAAAGGTAGCCACGGGCACTTCCAGGGGCTGAAGCAGACTTTGTGTATTTATTGTCCATGGGAGATGGCCGGCTGTGTTTTGGCAGAAAAATGGCCACAGTTGTGACCTGGGTGAGCAGATGGGCRCAAACATGCAGGGARCTGTCATGTGTTTACCCACARCACTGYTTTGGGATGCATCTGTCACTGTGAGACCTCTTAAGGGTGATATTCCTTTGCTTTTTCCTTCCCCACAGTTATCTCAGTGGTGTGTTCTCTCTCGCTCCATAATGTGATGATACAGGGCTTTGGCCGCAGTGGTGGTTTCTGTGGTCCCATCCTCTCATCCATCCCTGATTCTCTCCCCAAGCCACAGTATCCCTTATCCCCTCRCTGTGTGTAAGATCATGCTGTGTACTGCTGGCTTTAAAAACATACAAACCAAAWCTGCAGCATGATGAAATGGGTTATATTTAACCCAGACCAGTTCCGGTTTTACTTTGAATCAGCATTGGGGCCTCCTGAGCAGCTGGGTCAGCACAAGCAAGGGAAGCCTGCCTGGTGTCTGCAGTGCTGAGGGGGGACCAAGGGACACGTGGCTGAGGAGCAAATCCAGTGTATTTGGCTCTGCTTTTGAACCCCTGGATCACCCAGCTGTGAGCACAGTTTGGCCTCAGCACCAGGATGTCCCAGCCACCCACACATATTTGTGAGATGGCACCTACATGAGCCAGAGGCTGGCAGCACTCTGTGCTGTGAGGGACCTTGCTGAGTTCCCCATGTGCAGCCCYGCTCTGTTTGGGGYCTTACTGACATGTATAAAMCCAGTGTCCKTGCTGCTAGGCAGAGGAGTGCTTGRAAGTTTTAACTGCACAGSCTGAAAAGAGAGTGGTGTGACAGTAGTGAATTCTTGGAGCATATTTAGCTACTCTTTTGTGCATTCACAAGATTTCACTAACTATGCACTTACAATTTTTAAGAATGTAACTAGAAATGAAGGTGTAAATAAGGGATGATGAAGCTTTTTTCATTTGGGTTGATTCTTTTCTTTGCGTATCAAGAGATGGCAGTATGCTATTCCATCCAAGTTAGTGAAGACTTACAACCTTCTCTGTTTTAGCAGGGAAACCAAATTCCTTCAGAATCTTAGAGAGAATGATYAGTCCTGGGCAAGTGGGAAGTCTGGCATTTTGGTGGTCTTTGAGTTGCAGAAGCACATACCTGTACTACCTTGATCAGTAAATTAAAGAAAACCTAAATTTTGTCCAAAATAAAAGAAAARGGTTTAAAAATTGTAAAGGTTTCTGGTACAAACAAATGAAAAAGAATACTTCTGATGGTGTTGAATTTTGAATGATCCTTTATCTAGGACATATCACAGTTTTATATAACCTTTGCAAAAACAGCAAGTGTAAAGCAGAATAAAAATCTRTAGGAAGAAAGCTACAATTCAGCCCAACAAAAAAGGCAGTCAGTTAGGAGGAAAAATCTGTTTTCACTGAAAGTTTGTACTTAAACATATTTAACATATTCTTTGAAAGCTAATTATGTTCAGTCTGGGTGCCTCCCATAAGAAAAAAACACAAAATGAGAAACAGACTTCATTCCAGTGTTTGTACATTGAGTGTTAGACCTTGAACCAGAGCAACTGTAGATTTCAYTGAATTCTAGATCACTGTTACATTTTTGAATCCCTTGAATTGATATTACAATGTATTAAAATGATTTCAAGCAAAAGCTGCCAGTGACACCTTGTGTACAGTTCATAATCACCGCATTTTTTATATTTTCTTATACTCTGGTTTTTTTGCCTTTTTTTTTTCAAATTGTCTTCATAATGTGTTCTCACAGGATCACTGTGTGGTGATTCAGACTTTTGTATGGTGATTTAATTTCTGTGTTTTTATAAATTTCTGTTTTAATTTCTGTGTATTTTATAAATTAATATCTTTCAGCATCCCCAGATTCAAAAGGAGTCACAATATATCAAGTACTTGTGCTGTGATGATAAAGCAACCCTGCATCAGTGGGTAACAGGAATAAGAATTGCCAAGGTGAGATCAAAAGTAAATTTACTTTAATATGTTTTCTGTAAAATCAGGTCTTCCTGACGTTACTGACTGTCATGACCTGGAAATGTTGTGACATGAATGGACATTCATGCTAATTTTGTCATAGAAAGAAAGATCAGAAGTGCATGATGAGGATGGATTTACTGAATGTCCCTGTACCTTACCTATCAGTGTGTTTTTCTCTTTAGCATGGGAGTGAGTTCAGTAGCTATAAAATTCATGTACTCATAAACTTATTCATGTACATAAACTTACTGYACAGTTATCTGGCTCAATAATAACATGCTGTGGCTAAAGATGTCAGTCCAGTTGTGACATTTTTCAGACAGTTCTACACAAATTGTCTGCATCACTCTCTTCAAAAAAATCCTAATTTGACAGCCCACTTTTCTTCATACGAAACATTAAGTGAGATGGTTTTTATACATAGCCTTGGTATTGGCTGTATTTCCCCATACAGACCTGCTCCTCTTGTCTCTTAGTTTGAGTTTTTTCCTGACAGTCCTGCTGCAGGGTGACATACAGCAAAGGTGTGGGGTGAACATCAAATTATTTTATACTGACAGAGCTGTTTGCTCTAGTGCCTGGGATTCAGTGTCTCATGTCTCCAGTTTGAAAATTTAATACTTGGAAAGACTGGAAAATATATTTATTGAGAACAGTTGATTTTAAAGCCAAGTCTCAAGAAGTTTACAGATACTGAAACAAACATAAAATGTAAGAATTATATCAGGAGTGTGTTTGGTCATGGGGATTCACATTTCTGGGCTGTAACARAGATGGTTTCCACCTCACCCTACACAGAAAAGGGCGCACTACTTGGAGAAAGATACTTTTTAACCAAAGTAAGTAGGAAGAATCAGGGTCAGAAACATTGTCCAAGGGTGAATGTTTGGCCTGTGTCAAGCTCATATTATTGTTTTGATTGTTTTGCAGTATGGCAAGACACTCTATGATAATTACAAACGTGCAGTGAAGAAAGCCAGCTTGTCCTCCCGGTGGGCAAATCAAAAAGTGGTGGAACCAGCTGCCCCTGCAGGATCCTCATCAGCAGGTACTGACACTGTCACAGCAGGTGAAGCCRTATTTATTGTCTTCTGTTATGAGTGTTGCACGGAGTCTTTGTTCAGAAAGCTACCCCATGGATTCAGCAAGAGGTCTTTTTATAGCCAGGCCTGTGCAGCTCTGATCCATAACTAAGCCCTCACTTAACTAAGCCCTCCATAACTAAGCTCTCACTTTACAGCTAGAACTTGGAGAATAGAAAGACAGTTCACTGAAGATCTGTTTAAATCTATGTAACTTAATAAGGCATTTTTCTGTTGGCATCTGAATCCTTTATACTGCATCTACATTTGGCAGACTGATGGTCCATGTCTTGAAACTTTCTGTTTGCCCATCTCTGCACTGGCCATATTGAAGTTTTTCTTCCTATTAGTAAAAGGGATAACTGGGATATTCTGAGGCTGATCATTACAGAAAGATTATTACAGGATGAGCCACTATCTTTCCGAGCCTTTTGATCACTTGCATGATAACAATGTGAGTGTTAGGACACAAGAGTAATAAAAGATTGTGTTATTTTCTAACCTTTCTTTTCCAGTAGAGTCATCATAGCGCTGTAACTGATCTTATCATGATACAAATGCAACAGTGCATGATACTAGCWGTAACTTGCATGACTATTTTTAGTTTACATGTTTAAGATATGYTTTATTAGGAAGGGCATGCTGGCCAAGTACTTACTGTCATAAGACAGGCAAAGTCAAAGTCACTGTTGGCAGTTAATATTCTGATTTCTCATGCAGACAACTCGATCACCTTTCTAGGGCTCCAGTTCACCTTTTCTGAGTATGTGTGAGAGAGAGGRTGGTATTCCTACTATATCTTGGAGTCAAATCATGTTAATAAATACAMATTTGGGGTGGGAGACCTATGCAGTCTGTTTCAAGATCATTTTTTGATGCCTGGGTGAGGACATTTACTTGGGTGAGGGTGGGTGGCACAGTAATGGAACATTTGTGTCCAGGTGCTGACAGCAGTAGAGGGGTGGCCAGCCAGGGGAGCTGCATGCTGCCATCCATCCTGGATATTGGCAGGATCAAGGGCTTGTAAAGATTGTACCTACATCTGTGTGACTTCAGCTCCTGCCTAGAATCCAGCCACACTRCAGTGTTCAATAGAATACACTGCTAACCTTAACTAATTGGCTGCATTAGATGGTTAAGCAGCCTGGAAAGATTTTTAGTCATGTAAACTGTCTCTATGGAAATATCTCTGAAGGATCATTAGTGTTCTAATTGAGGCAAGTCACTGTGATTCTGGGTGTCTTAGAGTTGTCATTGCWGCCCTATATAAAGCACAGGGCCTGACAAAGCTACCAGAGCTGCCTGAGTGTGAGCAGTTGTTGGTTTATGCTGGAAAATGGTACAAAGCATGTTCTCTTCTATTTTCAGATGTCTCTGTAGCCATTTGTATGGGCTGACTTCAGTAAAGGGTAAAATCTGCTAGAGAAAACTACAGTCTTGTGTGAGTTTAGCAGGGCTGTACTCTTTTAACTTCGGTGGCATCCAAGGAAGGCAGGTGGAACTCTTCTCACCTAGGTAGCCACTGTTCCCTGGACACACTGCTGTAATCAACATTTGTTTGTTCACACGTACCCCAACATGTGTAGTCTGTGGTTCTGAAGTGTCCCAGGTGCATCTTAGGCAAAATATGTTTCCCTTTCTGCCTTACTGTGTGCTTTTGGACACAAAAAAATCCCAGTGTATGTAGTGGTCCTGCACGATATCATGATGTTTGAAAGATGGAAGCTGTTGCTTTATTGAAATGTTCCTTATCACTACAAAGATAAATATTCTGCATTTGGGTATCTATAACTTTAGTAACTATTTGGATTTCTTCTTTTTTTCTTTTCTTAAAACAAGTGCTAATTCGCCATAAAATTTTGAAGAAATTGACTTGCAAAGAATACTAAAACATYTAAATTAAAAATAAATCTTGAGAATAGAATGCATGGGCTCACATATTATATTGTCTCGGKGTCCATTAGCTGGCTGGCAGGAGATGGTGTATCAAGTGTTGCTTTCAAGCCTTGCATAGTATATGAAATCCATTAACAGAAGGAGAAACAGATTACTGTGTCCCAGCCTTCTGTTACTTCATTTTTGTCCAGTAGAACTCTCTACCTTGCATGAGATAGAGGGGATCTCTCTCTGCTCTCCTTCATTTAGTTAAACCTCAGTATGACTGAGGGCAGCAACATCTTTGGGCAGTGTGAAGACCAAACTCCTRCTCCTCTATGAACAGCAGACAAAGGGAGGAGAGAGAGTAACTGGCTCCACTTGAGGGAGCAGAACCCCTCTGGGCCACAGAACCCAGGGATTTACCTCTCCTTCCACTGAGGAAGGAGAGCCACAAGATTGGTTTTATTTCTATGTTGGCTTCCATGTYAGTCCTTCAACAAACACAAGCCTGTAGTTTGAATCTTCAAATGATGCTTTGGATTAAATGTGCTGAACAACATGCAGGCACAGTCATAAAACATAAGGAAGTCAGACCACCTTCTGTCCATCCCTTGAAGCCTAAAGAGCCTTAGTAAATCAGGCATACTTCAGAGTTTGTCTTAGTTCTGTGCCAGTCATGTGATTTGCAGGTATGGCAGCAAAACCAATTTATTCTATTTCTTACGATATTCATGGAACCTCTTTGCTAATCAGCAAAGTACACATTCAGATTAAAGCCATTTTTGTGCTTAGACTACACTGCAGACAGCTAAGGGTTCACTAACATCCACAAAGTACATGAATGGAACTTTACTGTATCTCAGAACTGTAAATTATAATAGAGCTAAGGCAGTCACTAAGGTTTACAGAAGTATGTATCTAGGCACCAAACACTGTCTACTACTTTGACAAATAGGGCTTTCAAAAATGCTACACTAACCTGGGGAGTATTCAATCCTTATCAGACTACACAAGGGCTGAGGATTTTTTAAAATTAAACTTGTAAATTTATCCTTTGGTCTCACATTCACTTACACCATTTGACAGTACTGGATTATTTATGCATATCCCTTACACAAGCAGAAATGCTGGGCAGATGTTTTGCAGAGCTTTAACTTAGCCAGCTCAGAGAAGTTCACAGATCTTTGTGATTCCAAATGGGGCAGATGTTTCAGGGCCGGAGAGATGTTTTACCTCGTTTACTAAAGAAAATGGACCAACCCCTCTGTAGGATTTCAGACCTTCCACTCCCATGACTGACTGATATGCAACTGTGGTTATTTTGTCTTTAGCCTTAATTAAACAAAACCAAAAACAGAGCAAAAAATACTGGGAATGTAGYAATGCTACAGCACACTGCAAACTTCAAAATGCTGTTATGAAAGACAGGTATTTTAATCTAAGGTACTTATGGGTTTTATTGTAAGGTACTTTATTTTCCTTAAGTAATGAACTGAATATGCAAAGTCACAAAATGAGCTTGAAGAAAGCAGATTTTACTGAGTTACATATAAAACCCCTGTAACAAGTGTTTCCTTGAGGAAATGGTAAAGGAATTTYTATAGCCTTTTTCTTAGTTGGGTATTCCCTGATCTGGTTAATATCACAAAAACGTAACACTCTCTTGCCTCTGGCTCATCTCCTTGTCACAGGTACTGTTCAGTCAAATGGACAGATTCCCCAAATTGTTCAGCATTCCACTGCAGAATTTCCAGACACTCAGAAGAAAGGGGATACATGCGAGGTGCAGGTGAGTAGTTACTACAGTTAAATGTCATCTGTGAACCAGTTCTTCAAGTTTTTTTTCCTTCAGCCACTGTGTTCCCCCTCAAAGTGCCAGTGTACTTCCTGTGAGAAGGATTTGTTTGGCTTCTGAGAAAAGCCTCCTCATGCTTTGCACTCTGCAAACAATGTGTGTGTTGTGCAGAACCAGGAGCCTCTGATGGGAGTGAGTTCATGTGGCAGGAATAGGAATGTGCCTGCTAGGACAGTCTCAAAGTGTCTGTGCTGCCAGAACCTTGGTGCTGTGTTCTGTCTCTGCCAGAAAAAAAGGTCTGCCTTAGAAACATAARGGATACAGTAGTGTTTTCAGTAGGGAACACAGCTGAAGTTGAGTGTTTAAGAAAGAAGCTGTGAAGAGCTATGGGAAAATGACAGGTTTTCCTTAGTCTCTAAATGCATTTCTTGGTTAAGCTCCAAATTTTGTGTACTTGCACCATATCTGACTGTAAAAATATGATAGTGTACAGTATGAGAACTTCAAAAATATCCTACAGAAAAAAGGGTGCATTTGTTTGCAGTTCATTATTTAATCTCCCCATCATGCATGAAGTGCACAGGACAAGTGAAATTAAATTCCCAGGATTTTTCTGTAACCAGCATTATGTGTTCTGTACTTCTTGTTTTTGTCTTGGCATTCCTCTTGTTTCTCTGTTCTGAACCTCACTTCCTCTGGAGCTGGTCGCATTCTGACAACTCAGCCAGTGGTTCCCTCCTCTGGTGTCTGATTTACTTCCATGTTTGTAGGCAAGGAGTGAGGAAGAGGAGGCAAACATGTTATAATTAGCTAATGCCAGAATTAGTGCTGCTGACTGCAGGGATGCAGAGCACTTTGCTCTAGAAGCAGCAAACACACAGGAGGARCTAGAGATCTGTGTGCAGCCTCTGGGCTTCGATCTCATTGCAATTACGGAMATGGTGGGATAGCTCCCGTGACTGGAATGCTGGCATGAAGGGYCACACGCTGTTTAGGAGAGACAGACCAGGAAGGTGCAGTGGAGGAGTTGCCCYCTCTGTGAGGCARYACTCKGAGTGTACYGAGCTCTGCCTTGGGGAGGATAACAGGGCAGACTAGTAAGGGTGGGACCACCACACCATTGTGGGTGTTTGCTAGAGACCAYCTGATCAGGAGGAGGAAGYGRATGAGGYCTCCTGCAGGCAGCTGGAAGCAGCCCCACAGTCACAGGCCCTGGTTCTTGGTGGGGCTTTAACCACCCTGGCATCTTCTGGAGAAGMAAAGCAGCGAAAAACAAACAGTGCTGGAGGTTCCTGGAAAGCACTGATGAGATTTTCTGTCACAAGTAGYGGAGGATCCCACAAGGAATGCTGCRCTGCCCAAGCTTATACTAACAAACRGGGAAATCCTTGTTGGACATGTKCAGGTTGGGGCAGCCGTGGCTGCAGTGACCGTGACATTGTAGAGTTCAGTATTGAAGAAGAGGTAATAGGGCAGAGAGCACGATTACAGCCAGGGACTCCTGGAGAGCTAACTTCCACCTTTTTAGGGATCTTCTTGGAAGAATCCCATGGGAAGAGGGGTCCAAGAGAGGTGGTTGATATTCAAGGATCATTACCTCCAGGCTCAAGGACATTGCATCCCAAAGATACTTCCTTGATGTTTTACTAACTGCAATTATTTGAAATTTTAAAAGCACTCATCTTCTGAGGACAGCATTCAAAGAAGCACTATAAATACTGTCAACAGGGAGGTTTCCACTCTCAAACCTCTGCAGGCAGCTCCAGAAAGAAAAAATACTATTTTCACTTTTCAGGAAAAATATATTTCATTTCCTTGTCTACTAAACTCTTCACATTTATTTTCACATTTTTTTATGTTCTTGGGAAGTGGCATTAGTTTACACGTTCACTGACTGTGTCTGTCCTTTTATTTTATGCTTATTATAGGTTGAAACAAATAATGCCAGTGCACCTGGCCTGGCACAGCCATTGCTGAGGCCACAGAAAGTCCAGAGTAAGAGGAATTCACTGCAGCCTCCTCCTCCACCTGAAAGGCGTTCATCTGTTCTTTCTGCTTCACCAATTCTACCCTCCAAAGTGAAACGAGACAGCGGAATTTTCCTAACAGATCCTGAGAGTTTTCCAGCTCCACCACCTACACTGAAGATGGATTTTCCTCCACCACCAGCATCCGATTTCTGTGAGCCACCTCCTGATTTTGTGCCTCCACCACCACCAGTCTCCAGCAGCAGTAATGGAGATGTGCCATTACCCCATCCACCTCCACCCAYCTCCAGTAAGCCTCCACCACCTCCAGCAAAGAAGCCAGTGCCACTCCCTCCAAAAAGGCTGGAAAACACAGGACAAGATGGAGAGCCACAGGCAGCAGGGCCACCTCCGATTGCAGGGGGAGGCAGGCAAGCAGATTTCATGTCTGACCTAATGAAAGCTCTTGAGAAGAAAAGGGGCAATAGCTCCTGAGCTCTGGGAAGGGGTAGACTTTAAGACATAGCTGGTTTTGTGAAGCATCCTAGGTCACGCTGGATCAGGCTTCTCCAGGAGGCATTCTTCTTCRGAGTTCCTCTTGGGGGGGGTCTCAGGAAGATGGGGTGCCCTTTGTCCCCCACTTTGTCCCTGTAACCTGTGCCTTTCGCCCTGCACCCCACCATCCCTGCTCTTAACTCCCATTCCAGCACCAGGCCAAGGTAAGAATCAGCTGGAGAGTCTTGTTTCACTCCACAAGGACAGCCAGGGATGGTGGAGCTGCACTCTGGAGCCAGCCAGAAAGTGAAATGCATCTTCTGTGGCTGCCTCTCTAGKCAAACTAGAGATGAAGTACAATGTCCTCATGTGAATTTTGAGAAGGGGGAAGATSTCTTTTCCCAGAACTGCCCTTTGTTCTTTATCGGAAAACTCCCAGCTATGGGGTTTTTTTCCAATAAAAAGACTCTTCAAAAATATTTTAATAGTTTATCTTAAAAAGTAAAACCTCAGCTTGATTCTGAGATGCAAGTGGGGACCAAGACCATTTCCAGACAGTGGAACATTTGCATGTATAACCCCAAACATTATACACTCCTGTTCCTTAGTGATATGTAACTCAGTCATACATGTCAGCTACTGCTTTGAAATCTCTAATAACCTTAGAATAATCTAAGGTTATTTGGTTAACCTTAGACAAAGAATTTATTTTGAAATCATGTATGATTCCATAGTAAGCAGGGATTTTTTTTCTGTTGGTTAACATTTGTCTTCAAGCTGTACTTAGAAATTATCTGTCTTGTGAAAGACGTCGTAATTATCTTGTACATGATAGGAATGTCTTCTACATTTTTTTCATTTGTTCTCCCCATTTAATTCTCCACTGTTCATTTCGGAAGGTTTCATTGTTAGTTCTTAAATAAAAATAGCTTCTATTTTATATCTGTACAAAGTGTCACAGTTAATGAGCAGGCATTTTATTGACAATTGGAACCACTTCAAATACTTTGAATATTTTTTGCCTGTATCTTCTAGGCTTTATTTTTATTTATTCTGGTCTTTGCCTCTTCTCATGCACATTTGACTTTCTAAGGTATTACCAATGATATATTTCTATATCTTGAATTATAAAAAAGCATAAAAATTGTGTGGTCTAAATAAATAAACACATGTAAGCAGCTAACAGAGCAGGGGGTGAACATGCTGTGTTTGTCAGAATTGATTCCTAGATCCAGAAGTGGCGGTGCAGGCAGGAGAATAACAAGCTGGTGGCAGTGCCATAGCCTGTGTTTYGGGTCATCACTAGTCTTACTTGTGGCTTAAGGTTGGTTTGTCAATACTCACATACCTGCGTAACAAGCTTAGAAGAACTAAGAAAAGTGTAACCATGTCTTCATGAAGAACCTTTCCCTTTGAAATTGCTACTTTTTAAAAAAATTACATTATTTTATWTAAAACTGAAAACAATGTTTGGAACCACATGCATTTCTTCCTGAAAGGATTTTGCTTTAAACACTGCAGTAAAGCTGACACACAGAGATTCCATCCAGCCCTTACTGATATTTGAGTTCCTTTGCTTTCAGCTGAACTGAGCAGAAAACTGTCACCAAGAGAACTATGCTCACCACTAACAAAAGTGTCACCTGAAAGTCTTGAATTGATGTGCTGGGACATTCAAAAGGTATCTCAGCACCTTCAGACTGCCAAACTGAGAAATGCTCTTGAGACCAATGCAAGGCTCATGCATTTAGTAGAAGCATCAGTTCAMAGTACAGGGGTAAAATAACAACTAGCTAAAATCCAGAGGGTTAAAACTAGTTTTAGAAAAAAAATAAAAATTACCATTTCCCAATCCCTTTCTATATATAACTGAGGTAAGCATTATGCAGAATCATTGAAGAGCTGGATGTCACTTTCTTACATTTCTTACTTTCTTAAGGTATTAGAAGTACATATTTTTGACATATTTAGGTGACAACACTGTCTGCTAGTCAACTATTTTTAAATCAGATTAATTTTATGAAATACACACCCAGCATCAAAATAAAGCAGAATGTGTCCTTAGAAAAATGTTGCACAGTAAGGTCAAAATTCACTAAGACTTCAACACGGCTTTTCTAGCATTCACTGTTCTCACCAGAACTCTCAGCCTCYCACCCTATTCCCTGCCTTCTCTTTTGTTACAACACAATAAAATCAATTTTATACATTTTACATCTGCAGTCATAATTCATGCACTTAATCTTACACAAAAGAAGTTGAACTTTCTTCAAAACAAAAAAAGAATCAAAGCCTACAGAAAATTCCAGAAATCAAGTAAAATGCTGTGATGATTAGACCTCTATCAACTATTTTGTGTAGGTACATGGTTACATTGAATTTATCAAATGTAAGATTTAAACTCCATTCAAAGAACAAAGCTGCCTCCTATTGATACAACAATTATCTGGCTTGATCTTGTACCAAAATAAGCTGCAAAATACAAAAAGATGTTCCAATGCTGTAATTCAAATTGTTTGTAAAAGAAAATTAATCCTTTCACCACTACCTAATGTATTACTACATAAATGGTCTGTACATCACTAGAACTTACTGTATTTTAGCCTGCAAAGATCTGACATTGCAGCATGTTATTTTTAACCTTTCTCCATACCTGAAATGGAAGYAGTCTCCACAGCTGTCATTTCCTTTGGGCTCTTGTACCACTGATATGGAGGAAGAAGGACCTACTTCAAGCAATCACTTTTCCATCAGTCCTTAGGACTGGAAAGGTTAGAGTCATGTGGAAAAGTCCTTTTGGGGGATCAGCACTGCTGCCCCTTTGTCACTGCCCTCTAACAGAAAAAGAGGATGAGAGCACAAAGAAGTCCCTGTTTGATTACCAGCCTCAGTGTTTTAGTTATTCCCCAGTCCTTGCATCACTGCTCTGTTTATGTAACATGAAAGATGAGGCAGTTTCAGAACAGCAGGTGGAAGMCAAGGATTTTCAGGAAATAGATCATGAAACATGGTATTAATGTTTACATTGTCATCATAAACCATAATGATGTAGAAGTGGAAAGGGAGGTGGTAGAAAATGCTGAGTGCAATGTGGGCTCATTTCTCATGTTGTACAAAATACAGTTTGAAGGTAGTTTTGGGATAACCATACGTTTTACATTTTTCACGCACTCTTTGCTGGGCACTTCAAGAGTGGAAAAGTAGAAACTTAAATGGATTAGGGCTTAACTGCAGGACTGAACTATTACTTACTGACTCCCAGAATACACATTTTCCAGTTACTGTTTGAGGGAAACAAGCAGAACACAGAAGATTTGGTATCATTAAGKCTTTACAATTCTCATGGTCTTGCAGAACAGGCTCAAACAGTTTGATCCCCTTTAACAGTCAGTATTGACTATTACGAAATCAGAATAGTTACTAAAACCACGTTATAAACTTATGGTAAAACTAGGGGAAAGAAAATGAAGATTTGCCTTCACATAAAACCAGGCAGACATGACCAAGTCCATGAACGAACTCCTGGAGAGGAGAAATAGCTGACCTACTCTCTGCAGCCAGAGGAATATGGGAAACCAATTTTCAGGGCTCACTTCATTCTTTCAGATATTTTGTAAGAACCTGGAAAGTGTCATAGGGGGCACAAGGAGCAGAACATGCTACTGCTTGTGATAAAGCTCATTTTTTGGGCTATTCTAGTTCCATCTTGTGATGCTGGAGGCTTTCCTTACTGTAACTATGAGAAAAGCAGAAGCCCACTTGCCACTRAGAAGATTTAACATGAATAAAACACTTGGAAGGAAAAAGCAGTATAGAAATGTTTTGTATTTATGCAGTTATTCCATGAGGTAAAGACGCACAGGCAAAACCCATATTTGGCCCACATACAACAGAAAGTTCTCAGATGTTTGGTTAAACAAAATTGGAGTTYTTGCCTTTCTCTAACTGGAAAACCAGGGCCCAAGCTGCAATGCTGCTGCATTTACCCTGCAAATACAATATGTTCTTTACATCATCACTTACTTGAGTGTGACCCACTCCTCCTCAGGTGGCAATGCTGATTTTCACACACTCCCTCACAACACCATTGTGTTTGGCATTATCCCACAAGAGACACCAATGCAGGGTTTCAGTAGGCAGCAGCACAGCCCAGAGCTGAGGGGCTTCCACAGGCAGCCCACACCTTTGGCCTGGAGCTGCTGCCAGCTCAAACACAATCCCAGGAATGGCAGGAAGGCAAACCCAGGCTGATCTTGTGTACATCTGATGCTCAAACTTAGACTGAATTTTCAGAAAACTGTATTTAAATACCTGTATTGTGCCCCCYATTATGACACTACTATTTACAGTTCAACAACTGCATTTCTATTCCAACAGCTGTATATCTGAGGGGAAACCATCCTGAATAATTGTGTTGATTCTAGTTAAGTAGCAAAGGCATTCAAATATTTTTTAGTCCCTGAAAGATTTCTAATAATAAACTTTTTTCCCACATTTCTAGAAAGAGATGATTGTATACCTAATAGCCTGTATTTGAGAATCAAGTGGCACCCAAAAATTTGAAGATCCTAAAACAATTCATTTTGGATTTGAATATACAAGGTAACATGAAGAATATACAAGGTAACATCAAGAAGTAACAAAGCCCCCAAATTAGATTTTTTTTGTGTAATTTTTCTAGCTGATGTATTAATTTTAGCTTAATTATACACTTAAAGYTTTGTGGAACTACAGTATCAAATAATAATAAATAACAAGACCCACGACTCTGAGAATAGTCCCTCTTACTCAGAGGACTTCTGTGTAACAGCTCCAGTAGAATTTTACTTTCCCTGCAAGATTTTTCTCAGGTATATTGACCTGACTAGATACATAGTGAGATGCTTCTGAGACAGTCCTTATCCGGACCAAACACTGAATTTTTCCTGAGACTTTTTATCTATGCAACAATAATCTTTCTACTATCAAAAGATACTTTCAAAGAGCAGTGGTCCTCTGGATAGGCACCTGACACTGCAAAGACACTAAAACTTACTCCTTAGTAAGTCACTTCCAAGACAGACATTTTTGCTATTTAACTGAATTTCCTTTAAATCGTATCAATTTAATGGGACAGAACACGATCAGAAAGAGAAAAGGTGTCAAGGTCTAACATGAGTCTCTGGGGCAGGTCTGCAAGCCTTAAGAACATTTATGTCTGCAGAATACAACTGTATCTGACCAGTGTKTAACAGCAAGAGGAAAAATCATCAAAATACTGCATTATTAAAACTAGCTTTGATGGATTTTCAATTGATCAGTCACTAAAAGCTATTGGGACCCCCCTGATCAGCCATGAATTCTGAGAGGTTAAGTGTGACAGTTTGGCAGAACTTAAATATTGGGACTCAAAGTAATGCACAGCTCAGTGTGGAAGACAGAGTTGTCAATGCCAATATAATTTGCTGATGCAACCATRCAGAGTGATGCATTTCTTTAATCTTAAGACTTCATAAATTAGTCAAGAACAGCAGCAGATTCCAGTCCACAAAGCATAAGGGAGAGAAGTTCCTGTGGCTTGGTCCATTAACCCCATTTGAAGGCWTGAGCTTTGACCTTGATGGTTTTTCTTGCCTGTTTGAATTTCCCTCAGGATGAACAGCTGACTTTCAGATGTTTGGCCCAAGCTGGGGGGCGCAGGGAGTACCCTGCTCTCTCTGCAGCCCCCTGCCTCTGAAAGGGGTGTTGTAAAACCTGCTCTAGGAGTCGAACCTGGAAGCAATTAAAAATGGGTAAGTTTTGGTACAAAATGGTTTCTGGTAAACAAGGAAAAATTTTCTACTTTGTCTTACGCAYCCTCCTGGCTCCAGAAACTATCACATGAATTGCTTGTTATCATTAGTATTACTATACAGTCATTACAATTTATGCTATAATTAATACTATTAATAATTTTGTAAACATTTTAAATAGCAATTGGTGTTATATGTAGGTCAAAATTTAGTAGAGTTCAAAGTGTAAATGCAAAAATTGTTTCACTAGCTATTCTGCCTGTTATTATTAAATCTGTCAAGAAAAGGTAATTTTACCTCTGAGAAGTCATTCAAATTAGCTTTTTGCACTGCTGATTCTGCCATCCAATTCCTAAGTATGTATCTAGGATTAACAGCTGAAACCAAGAGTAAATCATGTTAAATTTAGACATATTCAACAAAAGAAAAAAAGTCATTGAAAGATGTCATTGAAATCTTCAAGAAGACTTAGATTTGCAGATCAAGAAAAAAATGTGTAAAAATGAAAAGGAATTAATCAATCTACTTAATTCTATGAGTTGCTAAAAGGATTTTTTAAACTTGCACTATCAGTGCCAAAGTGCCAAACAGAAATCAGAGTAGCAGAGAAGATGACATTGATACATAAAGGATTTCCTGTTAGGAACACCAGTAGGCTTTTCAAGTGTGATGAGTTCACTGTGGCCTAGGTTCCTGCTACATTGATGGAAAACATAGTTCAATATTGTCAAAGCCTTCCTGGAGATCACAAAAATGAATATTGTATTACTTAAGTTTAAAAGTAATTACTAAGATATTCATTAGAGTATATGTACTTAGCTAGTCCTATGTCATGTAACAAAAGTTTAGCCATAAAAGCCTTCAATTCTTATTTTTATTCTGCAAATAAAGGCCAGAACTCTACTTCAGAAAGTTTTAATGCACAAAACAAGGTTACAGAATAATTCTAACACTTTGAGCCTACTCTGAAGTCTTAATTTGACCTAATGACACTGGTCTGTATATTTTCCCCAATTCAGTAGGCTTTTATTACATTAAGAGATAGTGATGCCAAAGGCAYTTCAGTCATGCATTTGTAACCACAAGTCTGTGATTTATAGACATACACAGACTTCATCTCCTTCCCTTTCCACTGATGGMCCAGTAGGTTTCATATGAATAAACCTATAAAATAGTTTTATATATTTCTTTTTTTAAATCCATGGAGCTTTACAATAACTTGCAAAACCTGGTAACYTCTACATAGGCATAACAACACCCTGCCCTAACTGCTGAAGAACAGCGTTTTACCACTTGGCAAAACACTTTGCTCTGGCCAAGTATTTAATTTAATCCAGTAAATGGGTTATCAATAGTAAAGTGTGATAGCTATTTCTTAAAAATATTTTAAAAGGTGAAAAAGTTAATATATGACTCATACAAAAAATGGCAATTCACATTAAAACTGTGAGTCATTTTAGAAGGAGAATATTTGTCCCAGAAATAAATTCTTAACAATTGCAAATTGACAGGTTTCACAGTGGTATTAAAAATACCAGTATTTAACATAAGTGACAAGATAATTAGAAAAGAGTAATACAAGCCAAGGTAAGAAAAGGACAAAGCAAAAGAACTTTTGTGCCCTTATAAGCATGATCTGACCTACTTTTTTATATGCTTCTTTTGTAAAGAAATACAATTATAGACTTGGATTGTCAAAACTTTTAGATCAACTCCTGAAGAACTAAGTTTAGGCAGTGCAAGAGAAAGTGCTACTAAGAACTGAAAACTAAATAATGGGAGAAAAAAAAATGAAAATAATAAGTGATCAACTTCAAATTATTCAAAGTAATGTGCTTGGAGAAGTGAGATATTTTATKACACTTACTAAAAATTAGGGAAGGGTGATGAATAATGAGGTGTTAATGCCAGTATATTCAAGGTCAGTCAAAAATAGCAATACACAATTTAGTGGCACGTCCCAACCCAGATGAAAATCTGAAGTGCCAGGACAGTTTAACATGAAATGCTGGGTAAAAATGCAGAGTTGAACTGCATTTCCAGCCAGATTTCTGCTAGAAGTTGTACTGACAAGGACAGATGTTACAAGCAAATGCTTAAACAAACAAACAACAAAAAAAACAAAATCCCAAACAATTTTAAAGGAACCATCAGGGGTATACAAGCAATCTACTTACTGCAAGGATGTAAAAATGTAAAAAAGAACAAAACAAAAAAAATAACCCAAAAACCTCTGTAAGAAACTTCAGTCACAATGTGATATGGAGCAGCTAGCAAAAATCTAACAATTTGTTGATTTTAAATAATAACAAACTGAGATCAGTAACTTATTGTAAATTTTTGCAGCTCTGCAGTATGAATAGTGAGTGACGAGGGATTACATGGAAAAAAATAACAACCATGAATCTTCACATACCAAGTTGCAAGCATGGCTGCTACCAAAACTAAGACCATGAGCAGAAGTGTGATTTTGGAGGTAAAACCTTTTTCACGTTTCATCTGTTCTCTGTACTATAAAATCCTCTGAGGTGGATGTGGAAAAACATGATGATGGTTTGCAGATCATCCACAAACTAGAATCCTTTCTGATTTGGCATAAAACATCAGAATGTCATGATTTTCTCTAAAAGCAGACTCAAAAGACACAGAAAAATAAGAAGGTGTGTTTAGACAGTTTTCAGCATTCAATTTTTGCTGAGGAAGASAGGGGAGCTTGAAAACTCAAAATGATAGTTGAGCAAAGAGCCTCAGAAACCCACAGATGAAGCTTCTTAACCCTATCAAATACAATAAAATAAATCTTTCTTCTTGGTAGCTCTTTTCATATTAGCTTTCTAAAAATGCATATAAAAATTTAAGAAGTGTTCTTTAAAATGGATAGAGCCTTTGTTAGAAAATGGGGATGGAAACCCGAAACCATAGATTGTGCCCTCTATAACTTTACTATCTGATGACTGAAAGCTCCTGCCATTTTCCTCTTCAGCTTTAGAAGGGGCCAATCAATATCTAACAAAGGAGTGCAGCCATTTCCATCAGAAACGAGCAGGGAGCACTCTGCAGTGTACAGTGAAGCCTGCTGTGTAGAGTCTGCTCAGATCCTGCAGTTGCTTCATTCCCATTCCCTTTTGGCCATTGATTTTCAGTTGTTCATTGTCTTTTATAGGCAAATTCATAAATTTACCACAGCTTACTGCAGATCAAAAATATCTCCCGCTGAAAAATTCTTGGAATTTCATATCCGCTGTTTTTGCTGATACCCAACTGCAGTAACCTTTGCCATTTTGTGTTTAGAATAACTTTGAGAATCAAAGGACTTTCCTTTCCCTTCTATGACTAAATACTCCTTTCACAAAGAGTTTTTTCTCTGGGTGATGGGAAAAAAAAAGTGTGTCCCTGTCAGAAATCTCAATTTTTTGTTGCATGTGGAAAGGACAGAGACAGACAGAAAGAATGTACAATAACATTTGCAGCAGTGAAATGAGAGTTTCTCCTCCTTAGAAAAACAGTGTATTTTAGTTCATCCAAAAGGAAAAATACCTAGCACTAAAGAAACATACGTAAATAGATATTTGCCATTTCCAAGCATATGGTTCCTTTGGATTGTTTTACTCACTTGTCATTCTTGTTCTTCTTTTGGTGTCTGAATCATCCTTGTTGCTACACATGAAAAACAAATCAAAACAAGAAAAACAGAAAGCACTTTAGCTAGTGAGGGTTCTGCTGATTTATTTTTAGAAATATCTTATTTGACTTCCATTAAAATCATTAAATGCTCTGTTTTGTGTTCAGCAGAAGCCAGTGTGAATCTGTAAAAATTACTAAATTGGAAAAAAATGCACTTTCTTGTAGGTTTTGTGCCTTGCATTGATTTTTTCCCCAAAGAATTGTATTCACTGAATAAAATTTCCAAATACCTCATATATATTTCTTTTCACTACTATTAGCCATGCATTCCATATATAACTAAGAAAAAATGTTGGATTCTCTATTGATTTAACACAAAAGACTCCTGTGTGTTCCAATTTATACAACATCATGGTTTCCAAACACAACCTGTGTATTTCCAACTGTACAACTTCCATTTCCTGTCACCATAAAGCAATGTTTTTACACAGTATATATATAATTAAACACTATTCATTCCTATGTACTTGCAAAGTCTCTTTGTGATTCTTGGACTGAATCTGTAGGACTGGTATTTTAGGAAAAACTGTTAACCAAAGAAATCTGATCAGTTGCTCAGTGAAGGACAAAATACAGAGATGACTCCTCTCATATAATTTTTATATTGTGTTTCAAAACAGAACTACAACAGTAATTWTTGTTGAATCCAGCACAGTCTAGCATGAAGACAAAAATGGCATATGAAAGCATGTTTGGGCCAGTTTATTATACCCACTAAAGACAGCAAAATCACTGCAGATTAAAGTTGCCTGCTTCTGGCAAATACACACTTTAAACTGCAATCGGACTTACCTGTTTAATCTCAGGAGGTACATGGTAACCCATTCTGAAAATAATTTGTGTTTACCCAGATCCTGGAGAGCCCAAAACTCCTAAAGAGMAAGTTAACGGCAGGTAATCAGATTCTTTTTCCTATTAAGCAAGAATCAAAGTAAGCAACAAGTACTGTGTTTTAACCCCAGCTGGCAACTAAGCCTCACATAACCACCTGCTCATGGTCCCACTCAGTGGGGATTAAAAGTAATGTTAAAAGTAAGAAAAAATCATCAGTTGAGATAAGAACAGTTTAATAATTGAAATAATTTAATAATAACAATAACAATAGCAATACAAAGGAAAATATTAAAAGGAGAGAGAAATTAAATGCAACAGAAACAACTGATGGAAATGAAAAAACAATTRCCAACTGATGCCCAGCCASTTCCCAAGCAGGGTCTCCCCACGAGCTCTCCCCCTAATTTATTTGCTGATCATGACACCATGTGCTGTGGGATATCCCTTGGGCCAGTTTGGATCAGCTGTACTGGCTCTGTCCCCTCCCAGCTTCTTGTGCATCCTCGCTGGCAGGGCACCACGAGGACCTGAAAAGTCCCTGAATTAGTGTAAGCCCTGCTCAGCAAAAACTAAACCATCARTGTGTCATCAGCATTATTCCCAATCTAAACTCAAAACACAGCACTGTACCAGCTACCAGGAAGAAAATTAACTCTACCCCAGCTGAAACCAGGACAATGAACAATAAAAGGATTTAAAAGGCAAACATATGATGACCCTTCAAGGAATTTTCTCCCTAGACATTGTAATAGTATCTTTTTCCTCTGTTTTCAAATTATTTCTTTATGCTAGCATGATAAATCCATATTAATCCATCTGCCATATGACAAATTTTACCTAAACACCTCTAGAACTTCACCCCTGTTTTTCCTTGGCTTATTGTCTGATCTATTYCATTTTTTAGGCCACATAACTACAGGATTTACTCTCTTCTGAGCCTGGTACATGGGTCAGATCTACTTGTATAGACTTTTTTCCAACAAAAATTGTGCAATAAGCAAAATATATTGATAAAGAGAAGGTGGAGAAAAAGGAAAACTAAAGAATACAGGGATAGGAGAACACTGAGAAGAATAGAAACAGTAGGAGAGGAAGACAGAACTTGGAAGAGGCAGACACAAAGAAATCAGAGCTTGGGGTTACTGCCTCCAGCGTTGGACAACCACAAACCAGGCTTCCCTGGCTGATTACACTGAGCCAACAGCTGCTTCATATTCCTCAGCTGAAAGTAGCCAAAGCTCACAGACAAAATGAAAGAAGAGATTAGGAAAAAATGGACATAGATAAAAAGGAGGTAAAAGGCACATGCTCAAGAAAAAAAAAAGTAAAGGAAATTAAAAGCAAGAAGAAAAAATTTTGATCCCATCTGGGGGGTTTGGGTTTTGTTTTTTTTTTAAGGAATAAGAGTAAAAAAACATGAAAACTGTATTTGGTCATAAAAATGAGCACAGAAATGACTGAGAGCTGGAAGTCAAGCAGGTAGATAACAGGCGAGTGTGAGAATCAATCATTCAAAGATGTGCAGAGTTAGGCTGCTTTAGGAGGAATTCCAGATTGTTTCCAGTYAATACTAAATATAAGAAGTCCTGCAGTGTTCCCAAAGGCTTCTGCCATTTTTTAGGTCATTTTTGGTTTGCAGCTGAAAAAATCTTAAGTGATGTACAAATCAATATGAGAACKTACTTTGCTACTGACAAAGTATTGGTGTGTAAATAAGCAGAGGTGAAATTACTTCAAAATTGAAATTCTTTAAAATAAATAAAATTTTTACCAGCATGAAATTGTACTTGTTTTTCCACATCCACAGAAATTGTGGGCTAAAACATTTCATTGTGTGAGAAAAAAAGAAAAGCATCAAGCTGCTACCAAGTGAAGGCTGGAAATGACCCTCAGTGTAGCARCAGGATCACAACTACACCACAATAACACCACAAATGGCTGGTTCCTCAGCCAGCTCCTTCAAAATGGGGAGAYGGAGTTGCCATAAAGGGGAAAATCCCTTGGGTTCTATGACATAAATACCTTCTCTTACAAACATATCCTCTTACCTTCTCTTACAATCATATCACCCCTCTGCAAATGATTAATTGCAAAGCTACAACTCCTGGTTTTTTTATTACTTACCTCTAGAGTATCTCAACTTTTAAACTCTTAATGRCTTCAAGCTCATACAAAACATCATGATAGAAGAAAACAAGGAAAACCAGAAAATTTGGTCAAAACCATCTAATTATAATTGGAAAAAGAACCATCAACTCCTCATTTTCATTCTGTGTTTTACATAKTCATCCTGCTTCTTAAAACAACCTCCCAAGTCTACCTGCTCTCATTTTACATTAGCTTCAGAGACAAACAGAAACTAGTCAGATGTTTGGGGAAGGCAATGAAATTTCCCAGGCAAAATGAACAATATTCATCGCATGGAAAAGGCACTGTATTAAAGARTAAAAGAAAAAAAATCATTTTGGCTCTTGCAAAAAGGCTATTTTCTTTCCAGATCAGGTATATACAAGCTTCCTTTCCAGAAGTCCCCTTTGCTTTTTTATCCAATTATGACTTGCCTACCATCTCACTCCAGTTCAAATGTTTTAGCTATATTTCTACTTTTAAAGATTGCACTATATCCAGGTTAAAAAAAAATTAAATACTCTCATGTCTTTCATATATATAGTTATAATTGGTCCTGAAGAGTAAATATAGTTAGTCTGAGTTAGCAGCAACCCAGGATGGGATAGCAGGCTGAGCAGGAGACAATAGCAAGATGTATTATGCTTTAAGTTACATTTAAAAGCCAATCTTGTGCTCAAAGAAGGGCAGAGGCCACTCTRGGCAAAGAGTTCTAGCAGGATTTTATGATGAGATGGGATCTCACTTATCATTAGATAGCAAGATAAGCAAATAGGCCTGAGAGCAGAGGTTTAGACCACCTGGCAAACCCATGTCAGGAACAATTTGGTTGATCTGAAATTTTCCTCATGAGCCCTATTCAACTTCACTTGTTGGACAAAAAAAAGGGAGGGGAGGGAAAAGAAAATTCATTGTAGACGACCCACCTTAAATGTGAAGAAAACCACATTTCCACTGGTGTCTGAGCATTTATGACTACTCATGCTGGACCTGTACCAGAGGCTCAAAATCTGACTTCAGCATTCTTCTTTAATGTACCTTTTACTAGCACTTTCCATTGACATATCTGTCATTACCAGACACAGGTTTAACAAGGGATGGTAGTCTGGYACAGATGTATTAGTGTCTCTGTCCCTTAATAATGATACAACAGCACATCTCCCAGACAAATCATGGCTTGAGATAGCCTCTACTATATCAGGATTGTGTCCAACTTGATTTAACTCTTTTTATATTAAGTTTCCACCTGATTACTAGAATAGGGTGCTTGTATTAATACCTCAGGAATATGAAGCTCCTTTAACTGGTCTGCAGTAATTTCACTCAGCTCTCGGAATGTCATTGTAAAATCAGCCTTTGTGTCTTCCATAATCTAGTGGATAAAGATACTTCCATGAGTGCTTTTCAAGTGTGGAGTATGAGTTCAGATGTTTGCCAACAAAATTAACAAAGTAAACTCACTCTTAAGAGGAAAGCAATCAAATAATTATCATTCTCATTCTCCCCAAGAAGACCCAATTTTCTTTTGAATAGTTCTGTGAAACTGAAAATAGTAAGAAAGGAGATCGTGAACATTATATATTTTATAGTATTGTGATTAGAAGGTTTAAGTTCTGAAAGTGCATACCGGCTGTAATAGTGCTCACCATACCCCTCCAAAATCTGGGAAGCTCTGCAAAACAAAAGAAATGCCAGGTTCTACAGAATTAAAGTGCTACTGTAGGTATAATCCTACTGTATACTAAACAACGAAAATTTCTGCTGCTATCTCAGAAACACTGACATTATGAATCTGGAATCTGTTCTTCATGTAAGAATCTTTACAAGAGCTACTAAAAACTACTTCACTACTTCAGGAGGATGCAGAGTTTTCATAAGCAAACATCTTAYAGGACAAGCTAGACAAACAGAAAACTACTGGCAAAGGTCCTACCTTAGTGGAAGGAGATRGGATCATACAACAATACCTCACTGTGGTCCTATTTTCCTCCTATTTATGAGCAACAAAATCTTTTCTCCCCATCYTCCAATCTTATTGTGGCCAAACAATAATCCAGGATCAATTTCCAGTTAAAAAAAAAAAAGAAAATTAATCCCTTTCTTTCCTAAGCATATGATGATTACAGAGTCTCCCATCTCACTAGTTATTTTAAGCATTAAGATATTTTAAGGATTACTTACAGCTGGTTTTGCCTGGGATCCAATAAAGGTTTCAGAGCKTGTAACAGCTTGCTGAGATTAAACAGCCCAACATTTGCCTGATTTCCTATTTTATACCTTCTTTCATCATCAGATGTGTTTGGAACAAAATCTGTTTCAAACAAAACATTACTTTTCCATAACAGAGTAATTACAATAAACAATCAATGCTAAAAGTTTGAAGTAYATTTATTTTTACACTTACACGACAAACTTATAAAAGACCTAAAGCTACTAAGTATTTAAAATGAGATTACATGGATGATGCTAAATCTAAGGAATACATCCTTCACAAACAATTTTCCTTGTGTCACAAGTAACATTTTCCTACCTGAAGATAAAAGATGAATTCGGATGGTTACAGAGAAAAAAAMCATTTTTTTATTAAAAACACTGTCTTTTACACTTAAAACCAGTATTTTTACTACATACAGTGCTACTATTTAGCACATAGATTACGCAAAACRTCCAACTAGATTCAGGATTTAAGTATTTCTGGAAAAGTCACATGTATAATAAACAAGTAWTTAATAGGGCACCTAAGAAAGATCTGTTTCAGTTGTACAAGCAAGCTTTGTGTTCACATAAAAATTAGGCCTAATGTGTTCCAGTATGCAAATCCATTATCTGGGAGATAACAAATACCTGTCATTCAAGTTACAAATACTCAAAAGTAAAATGTATGCTTATCTACAGCACCAGTGTGTGAGGAGATCAGTGGGAGCCCCTCGCTCACACCAAATGCAGATAAGCTGATCAATGCACACAGCATTGCCCAAGTCCTCAGAGGACATTGACAGCAAATGGAGCATTAAGGAGGAGACTCATAACTCATCTGTCAGACYTGGTGAGTGGTTCAAATCTGAATTTTGACTCTAAAGCCTTTCATCAGACTCCAGGGTGCACTGTCTGTGGCTGGGATGGAGTCAGCTCTCTCCACAGCAGCCTGTCCGGCGCCGTGTGCTGGATTTGTGACTAAAACAGTGCTGATAACACAGCAATGCTTCACACATGGCTCAGCAGGGCTGGCACAGCATCAAGGCCTTCTCCATTCTCACCCTGCAACCCCAGAAAATGAGGCTGGGGGAGGGGTGGCCAAGAGGCTAGGAGGAGATGCAGCTGGGCTAGCTGAGCCCAGCTGGCCAGAGGGATATTCCACATCCACAACATCATGATCAGCAATAAAAACTGGGGCTAGTTTTTCCAAGGCMGCTGTTGTCTGGGGACTAACTCGGCACCAGTCTGGTGGTGGGATGTGGTGAGTGATTGTCTTTGCATCACTTGCTGGCCACCCCTGCCCTTTCTTTTTTTCCTTGACTTATTCAACCGTCTCTATCTTGACCCATAAGCTTTTTCTCAGCCTTGCTTTTCCAATTCTCTCCCACAGCCTGCAGCAGGGGGGAGTGAACAAGGGGTTTGTGGGTCCTTAATTGCCAGCTGGGGTCAGCCCACCATAGAGAGAAAGATCTAAAAGCAAAAAAGCCCCATTTTGTTCAATACAATAGAAATGATATGACATTTATTCTCATGAGATTTCCTTAATTTGAGGCTGCAAGCATGAAAACATATAGCAAGATAACCACTGCTGATTCTGAAGTTTATTCAGTTGCAAATTATACACAATATTCTAGTAATACACATTATGTACGTACTGAACCTGTATCTATCAATCCCAGACTGACTGAGTTCAAACTTTCAAACAAAGGTTGCCATGACTGTATTGGTTTGATTTCTTTTCTTCCAACATATAATTAGCTGCTGTGACTATAAAACTAGAGCTTGATGCATGCAAAGTTACTGTATTCCACTTCTGCTTTTGGCTGTTTCCAGCAATACACAATTTTTAGTTTTCTAGGCTTCTGCTGTAGCATCAATTGAATTGATGGTATTCAAGTGGAAACAGTCTCATGRAAATGGGTTTAATAGTAATAGTTCATTAACAAGACTTTTAGCCCTTGAAATGCAACCTATATAGTGTATCATAAAAACTGGATGCTGATGCAATTTTTTCCCCTAAAGCTCTTCAAATAGTACACATGCTTAAGGTTTTTCTGCTAATAATGAAGGGTTTTCATACACATGGAAACTATAATTTACTATAAAGAGACTCTTTTAAATTAAAAAAAAAGTAAAAACATGCGCCACACTCACTTGGGTCATAGGAGTCCATAAATCCAAATGGACCATAATCTATTGTTACGGATAATAAACTGAAGTTATCTGTATTGCAAACACCTACAATTAAACAGAAAGGAGAATCAGAAATTAGAATTCCACTTGAATCCTGCTGTCTCTTGGAAATTTGCTGAAATGGGCCCACTGAATRTAGAGCTCTCAGGAAGCAGACTGGAAATGTGCCTGTCCCTCTGCCCCCAGACCGTGCCCTGTAGGACACCAATGCTCAAGCTCCCACTGCTTTTTAGTAGTTAATCCCACAAATCTGCATCAAAGTTGGATGGCTCTGCCTCCTGTGCACTGGAAAAGGCCAGACTTTATGTGGATGTATCAAATTCAGAGCACTTAAATTTATATATGGCATCAGTAGGCTCAGAGCAACAGCTCTGAGAGTTCTTGCTCCCATATTCTCATCCTGTTAGGGTCGTGCTTTGGGAGAACAGTGTAACTATTACAAAAGCCCCTTGTGTAATAGATAAGCTGTAGGCAAAGGCATCAGCAGAACTGAACACCAAGGTGACAAATAAAAGCCATTTTCAAGTATGTTACTATAAAGTGTCCCCCCTCTAAAGCCAATGCCATCTGGCAGCTTACCATGTGCAAACCCCACAGACATCCACAARGCAATGAGATTTGCAGTCTCTGACACGACTGTAGAGAAAAATTCCTAAAATCAAATACATTTTTTACTTCAAGTTCTCTGTATGAAAAATATTGAAAAACATAAGCATTTTATTCACTTTAGAAATATGTAATGCRTTCTAATTTTCAAATTTATGTATCTGTCTGTCAGGACTTGTCATTCCCATTCTAAATTATGTGAGTGCATAATAACCTTACCCAGCAAAGACTATAGTTAAATCAGTATACACAGATGCCCTGAAAAAAAAATTAAGAAGTGAAATTTAAAATAAAAAAAAAAGAAAGAAAGACACTATATATACTAGGGTCTATACTAGAATATACTATATATAMTACATTTACATTAGCAAAAGTACATTTCATGACCACTGTTCACTGAAAGCCTGAGCAGTAAGAGAACGTAAAACAACAGAAAATGGAAACTTCACAATAAACATTTCCATAATGAAAAGTGGGGGAAAATGTTCATATTTGAACTTAAGAAAGCAAAAAAAAATATCAAGCAGCAGATTTTTACTGCAGAGAATTAGCAAACTTTTCTAATAAAACTGGAAACCTACTTCAAATGTTCAAACCTTGTAAATCCTGAAACTGTGAAGACCTTTCTGTAATTTTTGCTCACATGCTTGTGAAAAATAAAAATTACTTACCAGATATCTATTTGAATCATTCATAGCTATTGATGGAAAATGTTCCTGGATAATAAARTCTAGCAATCTCCTGTAACAGCAGAAACAGAATTCTTTAAACAAAACTGGTACTGTAGAACTGATCATTAAAAATTCTTGTTTTCAAACAGCAAAATGCTGATCTACAGCTTGCCACGAATAGTTATTAGAAAGCTCAGAGCTTGTAACAGCTATTTACAAGCTGTTTCTATTAAATATTTCTATTTATTCTAATGAATATTAGATTAAGTTCTTCCAAATGCTTAAGAGATAAAACCTAAGCTTGTAGTCATAAATACAACTGGAGACTGCCATGTAGAGTTAGAATTATTCCCCACATTAAATCTCCAGAGCACACCAGGACCAGGTAGAATCATTACAAGAAATGATTCTACATCCAAACTCTCACAAAGAAAATTTTATGGCTGAATTCTGATGAAGTATGGTTTTTTTCACAGTAACAGGCCATTCCTCAAACAGTGGTCCACAGTCCTACAAGACAGGCTTAGGGAAACGGGATATATGCACTGTCAGATGTTGCAGTGCCTGTCAGATGAATATCTTTGCTGATCTAAGCAAACTTGAAAGGAGAACAGGTGGCATTCAGTGCATTTAAAAGCTCCCTGCAGGACCCCCATGGCCACTGGCAGAGGAGCTGGAAGCCCCATCCACATGTGGACTAGGCAGACCCAGGCTAGGGTTGTGTGGCTGCACATGCAAATATCTGTATTTTAGCTCCTAATCAGGCTGTTGGAGCACATCACTGAACTCTCCTCAAACTGTGACGATTTTATCAGAGYTCCTAACAACCTGACCTTTAGGTCCAACATATTGCCTCTGAATTTTAGGTGGTTGCTRCAGGACATTCTCTTTCAGAAGGACTTTCCCGAGGAGAAAGCACAAGCACTCAGTCACAGCAGCCWTAGCYTTCCCTTTCTGAGGCCACTCCCAAACAGACAGGGAAGAACTGCCTATTTTGTATGACTACAAGTGCTCTTTACATATTCCTTAAATCCAATGGGTCACAAATACTTTAACCAGAAAACCCCCACCAAAAGAGCATAGAGTGGTGAGGGTAATGGAACTTGATTATCGGTTACTGCAATGTGCAACTGCTGCTCATTTTTAAGCATCCCAGAACCATTTCTATTGCTCCTGAGGAGAGATGACCAACCTTTAAATATTTAAAGTAGACCTAAAAATTTGTCATGCTGAGAGACTTAACACCATGCAATGATTTCTTATCTAGCATACTTCTCTGCTTCTATTCTACCGATTTCTGGAGAGCATGTTTCATACAACATACTTATGCTAGGGATTTATTTCGTTTCTCTGTTAATTTAGCTTCACAGAAAAYTATGAGAAATGTAGGAACTTATATTTTTATTTTACAAATCTTTCCAAAGCAAAAAACTCCTCCTTAGTGCTTAGTTACCAGAACTATTTCAGGTATAAAAYTTCTCTCATTTTGTAAGACCCAGGCGTTTAAAAACATCTAGGGGGTGTTACTCTTGTGAGGTAAGATCTTTTGTATGCTTAGATAAAAACAGCAGATTATCTTTCTAAATTATGTACTCTTACTTGCTAAATAATTTATGTYTAAATCCCAAGTTGTATACATGAATTCTAATGTAATTTGATTTACAAGAAAACTATTATRGTTGCTATGAAGATTAAATACAAACCTTAGTAAGTCCAGTTCCCCAGAATGAGCTAAGATTTCCAAGGATCCTATTCGAAACCATGATTTGGCAAGTCGTAGCACTATTGCACCTTAAATATAGAGACAAGTCTGTTTAAATGTAAACAGAGTATCAGCAAAATAAAATAGTTCCATAGCAAAAGCCATCATGTGTTGTTYCTATAGACACAGAGTTTATATATGCACAGTTAAACTGATATTTTTGTAAGTATGCCTAATGCATAACAGATGAATATGCATAATATTATTTCACTACACATGCATTTTCATGATGAAGCTTGATTGGCTATTACAGCAACCACAGGAAAAATTCTGTTAATGCATTAATACTAAAATCACTCCAGAAATGCTAGCCTCAAAGAAAGAACATAAACGGATTTTTCCCAAAGCTGTGCCATCTCACTCTTTTTCAGAGCAGGTGTAAATGATGTAGCAATGGCATGGCCACAACTAGTATTCCCACCATCCTGATATTGCTATCAAAAGAGTGGAAGATTTCCCCAGTGAACATCAAAATTTAAACTCTTGCAATACATATGCCACAATCATAGAAAACGTGTTCACTAGGCTTCATTTCTTCAACCAAGGTATTTTTTAGATTGATTTTCTCAGAAGAGATTTTATATCTTGTTAAATGAAATTAAGCCAATTATTACTTCCCATTACACATTTTTCATGGAGAATTAAGTTACAATGTTGTAACATACTATTTTAAAATACRTTCATTACCTCTTTCTTTCTTAATATTTCCATCGTAAAACTGGTCTCTCCACACATCATCATCACTTACAACTAAGCTGTAGCAAACAAGAAATGACCATTAAAAATTATCTCAGCAAAAATAATTAATAATGAATATCACAGTTGTATTTTACATAAATTCATTTTCTTCATTAAAAAAAGATCTTTTTGGTGGCATGCCTTTGTATTTACAAATGACACAGGCAAAWAATATGCTGAGGCTGACCAAGGTTCATCACCAAGGTGCATTTATTTTGTATTTAATAAGATGTTGTCCAATTTCATTACTCACACTGTTCCTGGGGACAAGGCTGCACTAAAAAAGAGTACTGCATTCATTTGGAACCTCAGTGATAGATTACTGTGATTGTAACATTAACTAAGTCACAATTTCCCTGTGGACAACACGAAAATTTTGAGGATAGAGAAATTATAAAACAAATTGTTGCAGCAGATGGACSTTGCCCTTTACATGAGTCCAAAATTGTCCCAGAAACTTCAGGGACAAATCTAGGACCCTTATGAATCCCTGCCACCAGTACTTGGATTTTTAAAACCAATCTCTTCCTTTAATTGGCCTTAAAATTCTGCACATCCTGTAAATTTTCATGTTTATCCAAATATTGAGGTTTGTGAGAGTTTGGTACAACTTGCTTTAAAATATTTCACAACTTACATTAATTTTATTAAATAAAATACGCAATTCAATTCTATTTTCTGTTCTATCAGGAAAAATCAATCTCACAAACTATGCAAGGGCATCGTGTTCCTCTATGGTTAACAAGTAGGAAGCTTTTTCTCTAAAGCCACTGGGATTTCTGACAATCCTCAATAGGCACAGAAGACTTCTTGTTCAAAAGTCTAGCAGTAGGATAATTCAGCTATTTTTGTGTAATTCTTATTTATCTTTGCTTGTTGATAACTGGAAAATATTCTTCCATTCAGGAGACATGGACCTATTGGAGTCRGTCCAGAGGAGAGCCACAAAAATGACCAGAGAACTGGAGCAGCTCTCCTGTGTAGACAGACTGATGAATGGCTGCAAACTGAAAGAGAGCAGGTTTAGATTAGATATTAGGAAGAAGTTTTTTTTACTCAGAGAGTGGTGAGACTGTGGAACAGGTTGCCCAGAAAGGTGGTAGATGCCCCATCCATGGAGAAATTCAAGGTCAGGTTGGAGTGGGCTTTGAACAACCTGATCTAGTAAAGATATCCCTGTTCATTGTGGGGGGTGCATTAAATGACCATTAAAAGTCTCTTCCAAACCAAATTATGATTCCATGATTCAAAATATCGTTGGGTGGATTGCTATTTGGTGTTTAATGCCATTACTTATATCTGCCACCTATTAGGTAGTTGAAGGCAGCAGAGAAGACAGAACCAAAGAAGTCTTCTCGGAGTTACACAGCAAAAAAACAAGACACAAACCTAATATTACATTCATAAATACAACTGAAGAGAGTCACAGCGTTCATTCCCAAAAGTTAAATTTTGAAAGTACACAAGATTCTGGTTTTACATACTTTAGCATTGAAATTTTAGAAAGAATTCAGTTGAACCAAAAATGTGGGTTATATTTATGCATATAAACATAAATATGTACAAAAAKTTCATGAAGAGAAATAGCATGAAGTGTTACATACTGCAGTTGCTTGCAACAGTAACTGTGGGTTTGAAACTAAATTATCATTATTATATTTAATATTTTTGAATATATCTAGTAGCTATTCAAACTGAATGTTAAATGCAAAGAACAGGCAGTGAATTCTTTCAGGAGAGAGAAAACTATATAAAAATCAATCTGCTCCTTTTACTGGAGCTGTACGGATACAAGTAGAACTAGGAATTTATTTTTTTTTTTAAATACTCAATTGGAACCAGCTGGTATGTCAGTACGATTAGGTACAAAAAGCTCAGATATAAATGGGATGGAAGAATCTTAATACTTCAAAAGCAGACAAAAAAAAWTAGAAACCTCAGACACTAGCAAAATAGTGTGTGGAGCGGAGCACTAGGGGAGAGAAGGCACAAAAGTTGTGTACTAAACTTTACTGTTTTGAACAAACCTCTGCCAGAAAGGTTATTTCCTTTTTTACAATGTAACTCTTAGCAGGCTCTCTGCAAAATTCCTGCACAATACCAGCACTTCTTTTGCTGACAAAAAAAATCCATGGCGGTATCAATATTTAGTTAGTACGGACGTGCAACACTTGAGAGCTGGCCAGCCRCATAAACATACATTCCCACTAGAAAAGTAGTTCTCCAATGGACCTGCACTTGCTAAGTATCATTACTGGAGAGAAGGCAGCAGCAGACCAGCTGTACAGTCAACCACAGGAAATGGAGCACTGAAATTGCTCTTACACCAAAGAAGCTGGAACAGCACTCACAGAAGGATGGATGGATGGATTATATCCCTCCCTACCTGGCTCTCACTTCAGGGCTTGACTTTACCCTCCCAAGGGCTCTGCCTGSTGTTCTGCATGAACATCAAGCCCTATGCAAGTAAAGGCCACTCTGAGAACGTTGAACATATTGGCTCACTTTTTTGACTGAACGCGTAACGCTGCTCACTGGTGGTCCCAGTATGTGACTAAAATGGTACTGTATGAAGYGTTCTTTATCTGGCAGTACAGTCATAAACTGTAGCACCCCATTGGGAACACAGTACTTAAAATTAATAGAGCAAAATAGCCTGCTGGGTGTTCTGGGGTAAGCCATAAGGTTTTTCCTCCCACTTCTGCCAAGACTTGACAAGACCTCTGTTAAGTGCATCCCACCAGCCTCAGTACAACAGCTCCCCATYGGGAAGAATATGGCTGTCAGCTGGGGTTTTTCCAAATTAAGTCTTGCAAACAGTCTGCAGAGCTTGTACTACAGTTAAGAGAGCCAGGCATTTAACCAATCTGCCAGCAGAGAACTAAAGCACACTGTGTGCTCAGTAGAATTCGTGCACAGTAAAGGCGTAATTTCATACTGGTTTTGCACCGAACAATTTGTTGAGACGACAGCAAAGAGAGGCTCTAACCTTCCAAATGCTTTCCTGCTGATATTCAGACAGATTTCAAGTTCTACATTAACAGCCACCAGCAAAAGGTCTCAAGATGAAGTCAGTGACTAAGCCATCAAAAATGTCATTTACAAACACTGTACTTCAACAGAGCAAATGAGTTAGAACTAATGCTGAAGACATTTGCAGACACTTTGCAAATACAGACACCTAGCCATGTGGCAGCTGAGTACAAGCCTTTTCTGCAGAACATTTGCTTTCTTTGAAGCCTGAAACACTGCAGTACAGACTTGAGACTACTTGGAACACAWAATGAACTTGGCATTTTAAACACAATCATCTGAAAATACTCAGTTACTTGATTCTGAGAAAATAATCCAAATGAGTGAATGTATTAGTSTCCTTTCGTTCAGACAGAAATAGTTTCAAATTTTTTTTTCATGAAATCTCTCTTTCTTCTCAAGGAATGTTTGCATAGATAAAGAATTGAGAGCAATTGTTCAGTTCTACCTCCACTATTAATGTTTGTTCATATAATTGACAATTTTCCTCAGCAATTTTAAAAGTGACATTACAAAAATAGCCACTTTCAATATTTTCCTAGTTTGCCAGATTCTAGAAGTTGGATTTACTTTATAGAAGTTAGTCTTTTACTAAACTAAGGTTAAGTTGGATTTCTAGAATCCAGTCAACTAAGTGGTGCAATTAATTGCTGCAGCTTATTATTACTGGAAAGTTTTATCMAAAAATCTAAAAACTGGATGGGTATATTTTGTTTTGTCTATACATAAGAAGATAGCTATCATCTTAACAACCAACTGTCCTGCTTTATTGAAGTTCCGTGAAACTCAGTCAYAGAATTACCTGTAATTTAGGATACTGTGAAAAAGAAAAGAAAAATACCTAGCAGCTCTGCTTGTAGGAATTCCAAGATAGTGCATGGCCTCACTACATAAAAACTCTCGAACAGAAGAGCGAAGAACAGCTCTTCCATCGCCATTCCTATGGGGAACAGAGAAATAAGGAATAGGTCATAAAACCAAGGCAAACTTCAAAAAGAAAACTGTTTTGGAGTACACAGAATAACTGCAACTTACCTGGAGTATGGGGTCTTTCCTGACCCTTTTAACTGCAGTTCCCACCTCTCACCATGCCTGCAAAAATATCATTGGCATTTCTAACAGTAATTCAGGTTAACCATGAGTCAGCTAAATGGAACACAGAATTGTCAGACACTTAAAAAGAGGTCACACCTGTTTGTGTACACTCCGATCAAGTGGGCTCTTCCATCCCCCAGCTGACCTGCCCAGCTACCAAACTGACAAAAATTAAAATCAAGTTATTSTTCTCTATCATTTATAGAAGTTACACTTCAAACAATACAGATTACATGTAGATCCTCTCAAAAGACACATCTGCTCACACAGTCATTGAAATGTTCATCCCTAAAGCTGTATTTCCACATTCACACTGAAAATGAATCAGAAAACCACAAGAAAAGAGTAACACCAGTAATCCTCTTTTTTTTTACCTTCCAGCTATGATGTACAGCTACAGACCTGTCTCTTTTGTATAATGAGCCTTTAAACCCACATGGCTTGTTTTGGTTTTTTAGCTGGAAATTACAAATCAAATTCTACCATTCTTCTCAATGAATAACCATAGCCATTTCAATGAAACTGAACTCTTAGTAATCATGGTATTGCAGTGACGCTCTGTCCTTCTTCACTCCTCTGAGCTATTAGTACCTATCACAAATGAGAGCTGGCCAGGCTGCTGGGGTGCTAAGCAGACTCAGCAGCTAATGAAAGTTAAAAAGATAATTTGCTTCAGGCATAAACAAAAGCAGAGAAAGTAAACAGGATACTGTGAAAGGATATTGTAGTTCTTTTCCACCTGCAGCCCCTTACGAAGAACAAATCTGCAATCAAAATGTTAGTGTTCATGTACTCACAGGCATATACTTATGTACTTACACGTATTGTCAAGGTTAATTCGCAAGAAAAGACTACACAATTCCACCTGGAAGAACAAGTGCCATACTTACCTGGTGACCCCCGTACCTATGGGCCAATGGAACAGACCCAAATATCACTTTCCCACCACTGACGAACTCCAGAAATTCAGATGATCCTTTGACAGATATATCAAGATCCAAAATATTTTCAAGAACATCCTGGAGAAAAAAAAATAATACTTGAACATGATCAGATTTTCAGCGGTAATGAACTCGTTTTCTCTACAGATTTCATTATTAAAAGATATCTCACAATGTGTTTTAAATGCCCTGCTGGAAGTATATCGTGAGAAGTTGTTTCACAATAAATAGCACGTGAATATTAAAATATACTTTAGTACATGTATTAAAAACCTTTACAAATTAGAGGGGAATAAAAACAATAGCCAACCTTTGAAACAGCTACAAGATGAACTCTAGATTTAAAAGGTGTAGGATAGACAACTGAAAAAATGCAGTTTCTCACATTACGGACATAATTTTCTTGGATCACATCAATTGGAAAAGGATCTGTAAACATGAAACAGACAAAAAATGTCCTATAAAAACCAATCATATTATTCTTAGTATGTTTCCTCTTCAATCAAAATRCTTTAAAAATAATTAAAACTTGAAACATTACCACTTTACCAAAATATATTAAGCCTTAAATAAAAGCAAACCCAAACAAATTCAGCATTTGTTCGGAATATTTGAACAGGACTGAATTCTGCAGTTAAAGAATCTATCAGGGCGTTCTAGTTTTGAGATCTAAACCATATCTAAGCACAGATTGAATTAACTTTGACCAAAACAGTCTCAGGGACTTTCATGTTGCACTCAATTATATACACCCTGAAAGATATTTGCACGAGACAGAGAAGTTCAGCTTTCCCCACAGCTGAACAATGCAGAGCAACAGATTTAAGTCACTGTGCACCAGTAACTGCTGTATACAGTCCATATGCAGCACTGATTGCCAAGCAATCCAAGAAAACAGATGAAGTCTTGTCTGAGTAATGCAAACAGCAAATGAAAGGATGACATGTAGTTCTTGCTGTCACATAACGTACTCAGATGTGGTTCATTCTTCCTTCAGACCTACCTTGTGCCCTTTCCCATGGTAACAGTGGACAAATAATGTTTTAAAACAGTGTGGTTTACCATCTTTATGGATTTTWGCTTGCAACAATCTTACAATACCACATTAATTATAAAATCCTTGTACCTCATAGTCACTGTATTGTTAAAATTTTAAGTTAGTTAGCATCTCCGGAGCCTTGCTGCTAGCCATGTTTCTCATTACCTCTAATGACAGGTCCTATTACAGCCAGCTGCCACAAGATTTATCACTGACTTTTATTTCTTAATGCTCACAAGTAATTGTGTCACCTGATGAAATTAGTTCTGTAATGTTATCATATGAATTATCATTATAATTACAAGCAGTTTTGTATGCCTGAGAGCTACAAAATACTTTGTGTACTTCCAGACAGGTGGCAGGTTATCAACTCTGCACTAATACGTCATTGAGACTCGGAAAGAAAAAAAAAAAAAAGCAAAACCAACCAAACCAAGCATAAAAAAGGCGCCATAAGCGCCATATGGCACATCTAGTTTTAGTTTCAAAACTAGTATTTGACTGTGTATATCAGGTCTCCGCTTAGTTACTGTTTTAGGAGCTGCTACAACCCATAACATAAAAGCGCCGGGCAG